AAAATGGGCCCATTTTCATTAAAAATGGGCAGTTTTGGGGCGGTCTGCAGAGTGCAAAAACTTTTTTTTTAAATTTGCCTCTTCAAAATCTTGGTGCGTCTTATACTCTGGTGCATTTTATAGTCCGAAAAATACAGTAATTACCTTTGTTACGCTTTCCTCTGAAATAACTGCCTGTACATGGTCCTCCGTCTCTGCGTTGTACTGATCTTTTATGGATCGCAGTAACATGGCAATATCAACTGGATCAAAACTTCTTGCAGAATCAACTGTTGGTTAACAGAAAGACAATACAGATCTACAGTTTCAGTCTCTTATAAAAATATTCTAATTCATTTTCTATACCATTTCAATTCTAATCCTTTTGACATGTCCCATTTAACATTTAACTACATCTTAAGTGTAGCTAAAGAGAATTTAGATTTGCTTATTTAAAAAAAATATAGGTAATTCTCAGGTTACAATCACTTGTTCAGCAACTATTCAAAGTTAGGAAAGTGCTCAACGAGAGGGACTCAGAACCAGTCTGTGAAGTTGCAGTTGAAGCAGCAACCTTTCAGTCATGTGATGATCATTTTCCACATTCCCTACTGGCTTCCCATAAGCAATATCAATGGGGCAGCCAGCAGGAAATTTCAAGTTGCTCCTGCTGCTTTTCCATAATCTCACACTTTATATTGCCTGTCACGATGTTATTTTTGTTTTGCCAGCTGTGCTTATATTCTAAGGCATACGGTAGACTGACTCTTGTCTGTAAACTCTACTGAGCATGTCCGTTCCTTCCTTTTTTCTCTTTCACCTTTTCTCTGTTTGCCTGACACGAGGAGGTAAGCTAGGAACTTTGCCAAAATGTAGTTATTAGTTAGTAAGTTTGTCTGTTATTTATTTTATAATAAAAATGTGTTTCTTCGAATATACCACGAGTTTATTTTACTTAATCATAAGGTATACTTCAAGGAAAACCACGGTTCAACCTCCTTTAAACACAGGGCTGAATTTCCAACCCTCACATTGTCTGCCTTTAGCACCTTCCCTATCCCCTGTAGCACTCACATCCTCCAATACTCCATTAATGCCTGCCTGTGACATTACCTGCCCGCTCATAGCTCTCAAGCACAGTTCTCACCTGCTGGCTCACTTGCCTGGATCCTGTGTCTTATCAATTCCGGGTCTAGAGAAAACAAAGGTGTTTTTTTTTTTTATCTGAGAGAACAAGGAACTGAATCATTCTAGAGAAAAACAGAGGTAGAAAGATACCCATGAAGCTCACTCAACTAGCCTAGCCTGCCTAATTATAATGATAAAGCAGATGGAGGAAAGTTAATATGTGTCATCAAAATAATAGATACATTGCACAGAGGATATATTGGTATGAAATGGTTGTAAACCTCAAAATGGCACACAGCAGGCTCAGACGTGATGTGCCTGCGACCGAATATGATTTCACAAATGATTGCATAAAGTAAACTGATCTATCTGGTTTCAGTTTCAATTTGGAGACAAATTCTCATGTTACTATTAGATTTAGGGACTGCTTTTCTACTTGCCCACGCTCTACAGCGTGCCTGTTGCAACTTCCTGGTCTTCTATGGCACACATCTTCCACTGCTCTACCTTCTTGTGACACTCCTTTGCCCATCCATAGCTCTCAACTACAGTTCTCACCTGCTGGCCCACTTGCCTGGGTCCTGCATCTTATCAGTTCTGGGTCTATGAAGGGAAAACAAAATTTTCTAGCTCAGAGGACAAGGAAGTGAAAGGGGGAATCATTTAGAGAAAGGCAGAAAGAGAAAGTTACTATCAAGCTCACTCAGCTAGCTTAGTTTGCATAATTGTGAAGATAAGAGCAATGGATGCTGTTATCATTAATTTGATAACATTTTATCAAAGTAATACATTGCACAGCGGATATCTTGGTTTTGTGAGACATTTTATAACCATATATATTTTATTCTTTATACTGTTTCCATCTTTCCCTTAAATATATTAACCGAATCCACAAAGGTCTGAAAATCAGTGTCTCCAAGTTAATCAAATTAGCAAACTTCCTCAAACCCTGAAAAAGTTCACTGAGACCTAATCCACATATCAAAAGATAAGGTCTGCAAACACAAATAGAGTTAACAAAATTAAGTCTTCCCATAGAACTATACATTTGCAAGAATACATATCCACCCACACACATTTACACATGCCTCTCACCACAAAGAACTTTCTCACTCCAGACAAGCTTCTCCATTCCAGACAAACAAATTATTTTGCTTTTAGGAATAAATATTTCTACTTTCCTCACAGCTATCTGGATCTCATTTTTATTTAGTCTTATGCAACCCCGGCTTGAGTTGGAACCCCAAATTATTCTTCTGGCAGTATGTAATGGTTGTAAACCTCAAAATGGTACACAACAGGCTTCAACTAAATTATTTTGCTTCACAATTGATGTTTCTGAGACAGAATTTGAAGTCTCTCACACAATTATTTCAGAAGTGATTGCATAGAATAAACTGATCTACCTGGTTTCAGTTTCAATTTGGAGACCAATTTCTTTGTTATTAGATTTAGCATTAGATTTAGGGATGGCTTTTCTATGTGCCCATGCTCTATACCAGGGGTCTCCAACCTTGGCAACTTTACGACTTGTGGACTTCAATTCCCACAATTCTTCAGCCAGAGGAATTGTTGGAGTTGAAGTCCACAAGTCTAAAAAATTTTGAAACCCACCACTGTGTCAGTGCCTCACCAGTCATAAACCTCACCACACATCACTGCTGGTTTTAGTTTCAATTTGGAAGCTAGTTCTTATGTTACTGATAGATCTGGGAACTGCTTCTGTTCACTTTCATGTCTTATGTCGGTAGTCCTGATATTAGATCATTGACCAAATGGCTGTGGAAAACACCACCATTGCTCTATTTCCTACATTGTGTTCCTATTTGCATCCATTACAAGGAAGAGTAATTCATGTATATCTCATGTTTCCTGCTACTGAATCAGGAGTCTGGCAATTCAGGATTTTGAAAACTCAAGGACGGACTTTGTTATAGCGCCTGTCTGTGTTTTAAAAACTGCCTCTTTAAAGTCCCACCATCAACCATCCCAATGGACTGTTTTAAATACTGTACGTACTTGAATATAAATCCATTTTTCCCATACAGCACAACCCATGGTCATGCTAGCTACTGTGGCAAACATAGCCTTGCTGAAAATAGTAGCTCTTACAGGAGGATTAACAACACCCTGAAACTTTAGTACACATTAAATCAACTGATGTTTGAATTAATAAGCAGTAGATTTAAACAGAACTATTCAGTTTTAAAATCTTATTGAATTTTGAAATTTTATTTAAATGTAACTGATCAATTAGAGGGCAAATGGTTAAAATCCTTTAAATTAGTGGTTTCCACTAGCATCTATGCACTGCAGCCTGAATGTCAAACTCGATTGCATCACAATGTCACGTGGTGTATCATGACGTTTTTTTGTCTTTGCGGAGCTGGGGTGGGCGTGGCCTGAGTGTGATGCATCTGACCCAGGAGCCCCCAATTTGACATCCTTGCACTACAGCATATAGAAACTAACAAAAAACACTATGGTAGCAAACTTATTTTTTCCTCTAAGCTAGATGCAGCTGCTGGTCCTGACTTCAAAATTTGGGAAAAACAAAGCCACTCCCCCCCTCTCTGCAAATTTTCTTCCAAATAATTGTCATTACCTTCAATAATGATCATTTTTCTAGGGTGGAAAGGATATTGCTTCCTTGAGTAAGAAGTAATAAATAATGCTTCCGCAATTTGTTTTGTTTGTTCTTCAAACGTCATTGAGTCGTTCATGTTCAGATATGAATTTCAAACAGCAGTTTCTGTCTTATTTTTCTAAGAGTTGTTTCTACTGTTGCCTAGAAGAGATCAAACATAAACAGTCTCTAGCAGCTTCCTTCATTTACAGGTCAATATATATAACATTCAGCAGATACTCCTCAGAACAGGATACATAATTTACCAAGTAAAATTATTTATGTTTCCTGTGATACATTGGTAGCCACACCATAGCCATTTAAATATATTGTTAACTATGATAAATAAGAAACATTAATTACCAGAAACTGATATCAAGTCCAGCATTGCTTTCTCTTCTACTATTCAAGACTCAGTAGCCTAAAAGGAAGTAGAATTTGATATTTGATATTGTAAACATAACCTTTGGACTCCAAGACATTTTCATGTGGCTATAATAGCAGTAATATGTCTCATTAAGCAACTGCTATGTGTATTTTTTTCAACAATTATTTCAGTTATTGTAGATGCATACTGTAAATCTCATCTGTTTATAACTTTATAATATTTCACAATCATTTCCTACCATTGAAGAGGAGTTGGGTTTTCCAACTATAATGCTCCTTTCAAGTTTATCTTGACCCCTAACCGCTTTAGGTACCATCCGTTTAGGCTTTATTGGCAACAATGTAGGACTTATTTGCCCTTCCCCCTCAAATTTGTATAAGGACAACTCTGTTATTTCTTGACACTACGCCATCTAGCTTCTAACAGAGTTTTACCCTGTGTTGTTTTTAAAACTTGGCTAAGCTTGGTTCTGCACTGCTTTCTGTCTGAACTTCTAGATACTAATATAATATAATATAATATAATATAATATAATATAATATAATATAATATAATATAATATAATATAATATAATATAAT